ACTGCTGATCCGTCGTCTGAGCCGTGGAGAGATGTGGCGTCATGAAGCAGCTTCCTTTGGGTCAGACAGGCAAGATTTAAAGAGTGCACAGGCTCAGGCACGCCTCGTGTGTTCTTAAAGGATGTTCACGGATATGATATGATGTTCAATGAGGTTCATGAAGTAGTGAGCTAAGTTGGTAGGTATGGACCTATGTATGCAAGGTCTGCGCCTGCTGTTGGCATCAGGTTTTTGCATGATCATGTTCTTGTTGCCCTCCAGGGTTGAGGCTCCAAGCAGAAAAACGCCTGGCGCGTCTCTTGATTCATGGACGCGGACTTCCCATCCAAGCCAGCATGACTGGAAAGGAAAGATAGGAAAGGACATCGAAGCAAACCATCGTGAAAGATCAAAAATCTGCACACCGAAACCAAACAGCCCATGCTTTTGCCTCGAACATGTCAGTTTTGGGCCCCCCCAAGGCCCACGGGACCTGAAACCTACTCGCCACCGATGTCTTTCTCTTCTTCGATGGGGTGAACATGGTCACTTCATCCCACTGAGGCTCAATCAGTTGCAGCTCCGCGGCCTCGGCCTCGGGCTTTTCAGACGCTCGCCGGGTCGGTGCCGCGGGCCGCCGAACCACACGTCTCGGGCCATGGACTGCCGAATGGGTCCAGCTACTTAGCTCCTTTTTCGATCCTTCTCATTCTCTCCCGTTCGCTTCGCGTTCGATCGCTCGGTTCCGAATGGGGTAGGAGCCCCGTTCTTCGTAGTGTCTGATCGCTCCGCTCCGTTCGTAGAGAAAGGTCATCAAGGACATTCTATTCACCTGTTCCAGTCACATTTAATGGACACCCCTAGGTCTTATGTAGGACTCTGTAGGACATCCTTTTTTGGATGCTGGATTTCGGACTTCGAGCCTGGGTCAATTCAGGACGCTCACATTTTTTCTATTCATCAATATACATCCTATCGATCGTGCACTGCTCAACATGGCACCCCAGCTGCGAGAAATGGGCCAGCTCGAGGTGAAAAAACATTGATCCAAATTGCTCTCCCTCAAACTACCATAGAACATCATAGAACCAGAGATTTGACCGGTGGAAGATCATTTGCCCCCCCAATGGTTTTGGGGTTCCATGGGAGTACTCCCTCAGGCACCCCATCAGCTGGCCCCAAAAAGGGGTCGGCTCAATCAGCTGGACCCGCTGTCCCGGCACCCAAAGCAGGGCCCCCCCAATCTTCGGCCACCGATTCCACCAGCACCACGGTTCGGGTGGCAAATCTGTGCCAATTCCGGTGGAATGCCCAGTGGATGACCATTCCAAACCGATGGTGTCGGACACGTCACGTCGCACCGGTTTACATCAAAAGGAGCCAACAAAAAAAAAAGGAAGGTGAGAAACGACCATGGGTTTTCGGGTGAAACGAAGAGCTCCTTCCACAAACTAGCACGTCAAGAATGGTGCTTTCTCGACCACAACCGTTGAAATGAACCATCAAAAAGGCTCCAGTGATCTGCACCATGCGCACCATGAAGTAATGACTCTAACTGAATCGAGAACCCTGTCTCATCACATCTCATCGCACCAAAGAAAGACCATCAGCACCATCTCTCACTAATCATGCATGTGGTTCTCGGGGCTGCCATCGGATGCCCAAAGAATGCTTCAGAGGTTGCTTTGGGGATTGATAATATGGTTACAGTGCATTGAGAGATGGCACATGATGGCACAGACCCGAAGTCAGAGGTGGTTGGTAATTATATTATATGTGTTATGGAACCCCGATCTCAAAATCTCTCAAGGACATCTTAGGCGTGCTTGTGCCATCGAACCTCTGAAACCACTGCAAGCTTCCCCAACTCGGCTGTTCGTTGAAGTCGGACGACTGGCCGTTGCGCCCAAAGGTTCCGGGGTGGTCTTGGTGAAACCAACGGGGTGTTTCAGATAAAAAGCTGGATGGGAAGGGAGGATCAGGTTTTGGAGCGTAAATCATGTAAAAAAGTAACTGAACTTTCCACGCTGTTCTTGTTTGAGGGATTTTCCAATCTGCAAAAATGCTGTTCGCATCTTTTCGCAGGTGATCCACCTTTCCTGGGTCATGCAACACGCATCGACCAGTGTTGTCACCAAATCCGCAGACTCCCACCTGGGCATCAGCCTCACCTGGCACGAGGCAGGTTCTCGAACCCACTACCAAGACTACCCAAAAAAAGGAAACGGTTCTAAAACCGGTTCCAACAAAACCATCCAATCCGGCTTTAGCGGTCTTAGAGTTGTAGCGCATTCACACACCAAAGAGTCCTTTTTCCAAGGCCCGGGCCGCGCGTTCCGAACGCGGGGGAACCGCGACTGGTGGGCACATGTGCGGCATGCGGAGAAGAAAGTAAAAGCGCCATCCCATGGGGCCCACTTCCCAACCCCCACCTCTGGCAACCCAAACTTTCACTAAATCCCTGAAGAACGATGCAACAACAAAAAACAAAGAAGAACATGAAAATCCACCGCCCAAAGCATCTAATCGATCTCAACTTCCAACCTCTTTGGCGCCCCATGGCGCCTGCGAAGGCCACGGAGGTCAAGCGCAGGGCCGTGTCCGCCAGGCGGGGCAGGGTCACGGGCTTTCCCGGAAGCAGCTGCCTAGCCGGAGACCTCCTGAGAACCTCTGGAGAACCTCCGAGACGAGACGGGCCCAGCTGGCTGGGTGGGTGGAGGTTAGTGACGCTCCCGGTCCGCGAGGTTGAGGCCGAGATCGGTGCACGTGTGTTCCGAATTGAAGGGGTCGGAACGCCTGGGAAGTCCCCCTGCCAACAAAGGGTCAGTGACCTGAACTAGGACCCTACCAGGGTACCAAACTGGGGTAGCCTAGTTCGGGTTCTTCAACCCACCTCTGTTGGTGCTTTGGTTCCCACATGGTCGATCTGTTTACATCGCCGACCCTCGTCGGGACACGACCCACAGGGACACAGCCGGCTGGTGAGTGTCCAAGAACTGGCAGCCAAAGAGCGAGTCAAAGCCAAAGTGGTGGTGTCGAAGGAAGCACCACAACTCCACAACCTTCAAAGGCCGTCTGTGCCTTTTACAGGCCTACATCCTGGGATCTCAAGTTCGGTCACTTTGAAGGTCCTGGAGTCCTGGGTCATATCATGTCAAAAGCATTAATAAATAGCCGTGAACAAGTTTGTGCATCGCGGTACCGCTAGGACGAATCTGCTCGCATGCAGGAATCTACAGATAGACCACCTTTCTTGGGGAATCATACTCGAGTATCTCTGAGCACACTTGGTCACCCAAACAAGCCCATGTATGACGTGAATCCATGGAATACACCAGCTGTCAAACAATCATGGAAGCTGAGCACTCGGCACTCTCAGCACTTGTGATGCACTCTCGGCATCTGCTTCCACCAACGACGTTCGGACGAGGGAGTCTGGACGAGTCTAGGGAACCCTCGCGGCCGCGCGCACGCGCGGTCCGACCAGGGCGATCCGCTTCGCGAAGCCACGCCTCTTCCAAACCTGGGCGACATGAGCTGATCAAACCGAGCCATTTCTGAGCGAAAGTGCTGACTATTGGAGAGGTCCATGTGTATGCTATGAAGATTGATCAAATTTAAGGCACAAAGGCACAGAATAAATATCTAAATGAGACTTGGCCAGCTACGACATGCCTGTTGAACGACACGCTTCCAACGCTTTCATACGCTTAACATCTCTTAACATCGGACCATGGCCCCCGGGCCCTCTTCCGAACCCGCAGAGCCGCTCGGCGTGGCGGCATGGTTGCAGCTCGGCACAGCGATGGCAACACGAGGGCCCAAAGGGAGTCGGGGTTGTGAAAAGTGAGACCATCGCTAGTAGGTTGGAGGCCAACAAAGACAGAGAAAAGGAAGAAAGGTTGTGAAAAGTGGGACGTGTCGACTGCTGTGGCTGTGGCCTGGCAGTGTGTGAGGCCTTTGCTCATGCAAATCATGCCACAAGTCATCTGCAAATCGCTGGCCAAGCCTTCCACGTGTCAAATGAACAAATCACACCTCCCATGAAAAATGCACGGGCATTTGCCACCCTTCTGGTGTGATTGACCCAACCTGCTTCAAAGTTGGGACTGCCTAGATTTGCGCAGGTTGACACCACCTTCTTGGAGTCTTGGCCATCTGTGACTTAAAGGTTTCACACCCCCAAGTGGAGCACCTATTTCCAGGACATTGTGCACGACCATCTCTGCATGCGTCTGTGTGTAGCCGTTCTCTGTGTCTGTGCGCAGATCTGTTCAGCCAGGAGGGCTCAGCCGCCGCGGATTCCGGTCTTCATGACCCTGAAGTTCAGGTTCCACTAGATACTTGGATATCTGGCTGACAGATTGTTCATGATTCTGCCAGGTACCTGGTGGCTGTTGGGTCAATACAATGTTCCACATGTTCTCGGATTGCATTACCAGGTTCCAAAGGACAGACGTGATCAACTGTGCTAAGACCAAATCTATGACCGCCTGGTCGGGTATCGTCGAAGAGCTCGTTGGCTTTGGAACAGGTAGGGCATCGAAGAAAGCCTGGTTGTGTGTGCACCTCCCAGTTCGACCCCTGGAAGAAGGAATATAGACCAGTCACTAGACCAGTCTAGCCGTTGATTGGGGGCCCCCCCTATGAACATACACACCCTGGTGATTGATGCTCACAATTTTTGATCTGTTTTGTGATATGTTGTTTTTATTATGTGATCCTTTTGACTAATATTGATTTCCTTTTAACAAATATTGATTTCCTTAAGTTTAACTCCTATTGATTTTTCAACGATCAATGATTAATAATTAATCAGGAGTCTCCATTGTTAGGGGGGGATATTACTAATCAAGAGTCTACATTATCTGAATGTGAAGAAATGTGTAGAATCTTGATTTCTATTGATGAACATCACCCTCCCCCATAAACCTATATATATAAACCTCTTCGGTTTTTCTCATCCACCCTCTACATCATGTTTGCTCCGATGTCCCATCCCGCACAACCGGCCGTGGCTTTTCGGCTCGACGCTCGCTTTCGGCTCCACACGGCGAGAGCTCGACCGGTGAGACGCTCCGCTCGACCGGCTCGTGGGCGGTCGGACGGGGTCCGGCTCCGCAGCTCACGCCGAGAGGAACTTCACGCCTGGGACGCACCGGCGAGTCCGGTGCAGCGAGTCAGGGGTGAAGCGACTGGTTGGGGGGGGAAAACGAGTGGATGTGTTCAGAGTGACTGGTCGGATCCAAGAGATCCAAGAGATCTGAGACTTGAGTTTTAGTCTCAGAAAATGGGGGAAACTTGGATTTGATCATGGCATGTCAGCAACATCTGGCATGTCAGCAAGTGATATCGAAGAGTATGAAGTCTCATAACATCCTCCTCTGATCTGTCCCAACAGGGCGAGGTGATCTCTGGGAAGCTCAATCCCAATGTGGACATTCATGATTTGAACTATATACTATACGTAGATTGGACTCCCTACATCCAAAAACCACTGGGCACTTCGTCTCCGAAGTGACCGTCAGGCCGGTTCTCGGCTACTCCCGACCTCCGACCTCGGACGCCCTGGAGCGTGTTTTCGGGTGGACACCGTCCTCTGCTTTGACACCGTGGCCCGTGGCCCGTGACAGAACTGAGTGGACGAACGACATCTCCAAGACTCCAACAGGTCACCTATATAGATACCCCTTGAGAAGGGTTCTGGGGTGGATTTGATTTCATAAAGACCTTTGCAAGGGAGATCTATATCTGTAGTTGACTGTAGTCCATCTCCTGTACTCTCCAAGAGTCACCTAATCGTCCACCTCGTGAGAAAATCACTAAGTCGACGATACAAACTACTATATATACGTACAGTAATTATCCCGTACACGACCAGTCTGGGACTGCCATAGATGCCACCCCATTGACCCCCCTGGCATCACCCCAACTGATCGGCATATATGGCAGTCCCTGGAGCGTCTGGGTATATTATACCAGGACCCTCCTGTCGGGGTGTCCAATGGACTACCCCACACTACCTATAGGCTTCCAAACAGGGCACCCCGACAGGAGGGTCCTGGTATGGTTTTGGTTTTGCTACTGGGCCAGGCATGCCAGCAACTCAATGCGCCTCTCGCCCAGGGCCCACTATGCCCATGATACTTGAATCCGCTTCGGCTCGACACCGGACGAAAAGAAAAGCCGCCCAAGGGCCCGACTTCTTAGGGAACAACACACCCCTGGGCCCTCTGGTCATGTTCCTCTTCCACCTTCAAAGCTCCAGTACCAAACGCTCCCGAAAGCACCTGCTGCGCCCTGCACCTGCGCCCTGCACCTGCGCCCTGCACCTGCTGCGCCCTGCTGCGCCCAACGCCTCGCTCACTACGGAGCCAAAGCGCCTTCCGACCCGCTGGAGCCCCGGAAGAGGGTCGCCCGGTTCCGCCGCACGAGCTCCTCCGCGTGGCCCATGCTGTCCTTTGGTTTGTCGGGGGGGGGGGTTTGGGGAGGCAAGAAACTTGAAGAAGCATGGGGGTGGTTTTGGTGGGACCCTTAAAGGAGCGTCCGGGGATCAAATGTACTTTCTGTCAGGCTTTCCAGGAACAAACTTTTTGGAACACATGTGACTGTATACAACTCTAGAATACTCTAGATAAATGTGTAAGGAACGCTCTTGAATGATTGCAACTTGACCCCTCTGCATTCAGTTCACCCCCCCCTCTTTTTTAGTACAGTGGTTTCAGAGTAAATGGCACAACCCCCAAGATTTCCTTTTCATAGGGGTCCATATAAACAACCTTTTCGAGATTGTGCAATCTACTCCGAAACAACTCCATTGCCATATAAGGTTGGAGGATGTTGGAGGCCATCGCTAGTAGGTTGCAGGCCATCGCTAGTAGGTTCGAGGCCATCACTTCTAGGTTGGAGGCCATTGCTTCTAGGTTGGAGGCCATATGTTGTTCTGTTTGTGTCTGTTCTTGCGACAGTCCACCTGAGGATCGGAATCCACTTTTGGCGTTTGGGACGTTGCGAGTATTGGATCCGAGTCCAATCCCAAGGGACTTGAGGATTTGGCACCTAGAAGTCAAAAGAATATCTGTGGCCCACTCTGGGGCCGCTCTTCAACCACCCGAATGCAGGTACAGCAACTAGTCCGTAGTGTTATTAATATATATATATATATTATATGCAGTACATTAAATCCCGAAGAGAAGTTAAGATTGAAAGAGTCTTTTTGGCACCACCGAAGTACAAGGACATTCCTTGACTCGGATCACCTAGTCAGACCAGTCGGACTCCCAGAGGATCAAAATGGACAAACACATGATGTTCCCAACCTCCCACAACAAAAACCAAGGGCAACTGCGGATGCCAAACAGGTCAACGACATTCGTCCAAGTCCACGCGAGTCTTCCGCCCCGCATCGAAGCGACGCTGAACGACCTGCAACGCCGCCATGATGAGCTCCCGCGGGGCTCCGTAGAACTCCTGCCCCTGGGAGAGGTGTGAGGTGGTCAAACTGACCCAGACCAGCCATCGGCGTTGACATGCTCGGAACTGTTCAACACCGCATCTAATCAAGCAACAGGTGTGTGATGAACATCAGCTATAGGCTACAGAACATATCGAGGAACATGTGTGTAATTTCATAGAGGTTACCTCATTCTCTGCCCACTCCCGACATGAAATCTCGCAGTCGTACTTTTTCCTGGCAGTTGGCCATATAGGTCGCGTCATGGACCACTCAATTGGAATGAATTGATCAGTGAGAATAGCCGTGATGATCTCACTTGGGCTTGCCGTCTCTCTGCCACTCTCACCCTCTCGGCTGGTCGTGAATGGTATTAGGTATTCAAGCATTCTGGTCCCCATAGAAGACATCGTCCGCCTTGGGGGCGCAGAATGAGTCTTTTGACCATGCCAGCGCCTCCCCAATTTCTGGAGAGGAAGCTGACTGGCTCAAGATCACGAGATCGGCCGATGAGATTGATTTAGGGTTGAGTATCAGAAAGCATCCGCCCACAACTTGAATACATCAAAGGGTCATAAATGGGATCAATGCAAAGAAAGCGACCGACCACGCGCAATCTCTCAACTGGCCTTGGCCGATTGCATTCTGGTCTCCAGTCAGGGCGTTGCCCACGAGGAGGGTGGAATATGGTGTTCGACAATGCAGCTCAGACTTCGACAATCACGCCACCAAGTTGTTTGGATCGTGTTGAGTTTCAAGCGTCAACCCCTACAAGCGCCCGTTTCACTTCATTTGAATCCCAGAATCTAGAATCATCATCCCAAACCCAGACACTCCATGTATGCCATATATGCCGATCAGGCCAGGGGTGGTTGACCAGGGGTCTGGCTTGATCGGCAGTCCGCCCTGGCAGTCCCAGACAGGTCGTGTCAGGAAAAAAGAAAGAAAACAGCACTTTAATGAACACCACTCCCTGAACTGGACGGGGTGTTGCGTTGCCGAGGAACATGACTCGGCTCTATTGAGGCCAAAAACTGATCGGAGACGTCCAATCTTCCTACTCACATTGTGGGTTCCATGTTTGGAACCAAGCCAGGTACGGGACGGAGATGAGCAGAATGTGAGTGGTGAGTGGTGTATTGGCACCGAAATCGCTGTTTGCATCACTCACAGGCAACTCGCCCAGGGCAATAGGTAGCCTTCACTGCATCAATGTCATCGCAACGGCTCCTTCTTAGGCGTGATCGTATCATTTTCTTCGGGGCCAGCATGAGCTCCTGCATCTGGTACTCGGCTTCCAAAAGCCTCTTCAGGGCACGTACCCTGGTGGTGTTCTGGCCTTGGATTGGCGGCGGTCTGAACGAAAACGCGTAGCCCTGGACAGCGTTTTCGTTCGGATTATGAGCCCAACAAGGCCATCAGGAGTCCACCTTGTGGGTGTTTTCCTGTTGGCCACAATTCCCAGCAAATAGCAGCGACCCTGGCAAGACATGCAGACCCGCCAAAATTGGAGTCTAGAATGGTCTAGGGTTGTGTTCCAGCAGCAAAACTAGCACTTGTTGATTACCACGTTAGGCCGGACCCCGGGGTTCTCCTAAAAGCGTCCGAACTAGTCGTTATATAGACCTTGAAAAGGTACAAAGACGGTCCAGCCAGGTAGAGCTGTGGAATGTTTATGTTGTGATGCTTGCTCCAAACCATCTGCTCTATCCCCATCTGTGCCTTGCCATTTCACCTGACATTCCTTGTCCTACGGGACACTGTACACTGTGCAGTTCTTGGTCGGGCGTTAGTCCGTTGCCGCTTGTGTCGGCTTTCTTTCGAGTACTGAGTACTTGTTCATGGATGGGCGACCACAGAGAAGCCCCCTCAGCGACATCCCTTTCTGTGTTTGCTGGGTCTGGGGTGGCGGTGTCCGCTTGTCGATGGGTGCAGTGCGGTGCCGTACTCCTCCTTCAGCGTGAAACCAACTTTTATTCCTTGAAGCCCATGTTGAAATTGTGATACCCCTGGGGGTCCAAGACAAGAAAAAATGATTGGTCGTTGGGTGACCCGAAGAGGAGCTTCCTGCCCCTTCAGTGAAGAAAATCGAGTTTTTGGACTTCTATATGGGGCCGATTCTAGGGATATCATTGATGCCCTTGTTGCCCTGGTTCCTTCTTCCACGCCTCTCGGACTTATGGTGCCCGCCCAGCTTATGTGGTGCGGCTGGGGCTGGGGCTATGAGAATGTTCTTTGTCGTCAGCCACTCCAGAGTGTTGGCTCGCCTCCCTTGAGTGGTTTCCTCTTCGAAAGGAAGTAGTAGGGTCGAGAGGCTTTGACAGCTCTCCGGGTCTACATGTGGATGGAGAAGAACTGAGAGGGCCTGGGCAGCCTGGGTAGAGTTCAACTCTTCACCAAGACCTGGCGCCCAGCGGAATCAATGGGAGGGGAGTGCGTGCCAGCATATTTCGATGTATGGACCTGTATGGACGTCCTTTCAACCACGTTTTCGTTCGTGCCAGCGGTCGCACTTTCTGTCCCGGGAGCCCTGGGAGTTTTGAGGGCCTGGGAGTTAGGGAACTTCCGTTACTTCACTAAGGAAGAGTGGACCAACCAGTGCCTGTAAAGAAGGACAGCGATCTCGCCCCTTCAGAATCAATCTTGTCGGGGCATGATTATGCGACTGGCATGAAAACTGTGGGGCATCTTCCCAAAATCGGAATTAGATTCCTCAACCCCTGTGGGGCAGTAAGATAAGTCATTGAAAGCTCTGGGTTCAATTCCTTGGCCTCATTGGTCCAAGTCCGCCAAGTCACACAAATCCGTCCGGTGTCCACCAATTGAGTTGTAACGCCGGAAGTCCACTTCATCTTCAAACGGCGCGCTGGCGCCGATGTACTGGGCCAGACGGTTGAAGAGCCCTCGGGGCATCAACCGCAGCTCTTCTCGGTGAAAAACGATCCTCGCTGAGTGAGTCCGATGTTAACCACCATGGACCCGGTGCAAACGCATTGGGGAGGACCTGGACCTGGATCTGGTGATGTCCCGATCCCTGGGCTCACTGGGCCGCCATTCGGACCCGATTTGGGGTGCCCCTTGGTGTCACAGCCAAAGACCCCATGCGGCAAACTGCCTTCATGCAGGCACACCATGATTCCGGGTAACCAAAAAAGAAACCGTTGCTAAGTCAATGGCAGCCCTCATTCGCCCAGCAAAAAGATCGAGCATCGGCGGCATATGCCGTGCCACCTTTCTTCCCTCCCAAAATGATCTCAGTTTCCGTGCCCTTTCAGACACGAGTGCTGAGGTGCTGTTGAAGCAAACTTCACTTCCATCGCGCTGTTGGGGTGCCAACCTGCGCTCCTTGGCGGTTTCGATGTTCTCGTGGCACCAAAAGTGGCTCATAAAGCCCTTCTCCAAGCGACCCAGTGGGTCACAGAAAGCCAGAATCAGCTTCAAACGCGGGATGGCTGCGAACATCCTTCAAATAACCAATGAATGGCAACTCTAATTCAATTGTGTTTTTTCTTTCGGATTCGCGGTGTTCAAAGACCTTTGGCATCAAGTCTTGCTGGTACGTACGGAACTCTGGATCTCAAAGTGAGTGGTCCAAGAGGTGAAGCCAGGAAACGAGGCACAAAGAACAAACTAACGCAACAGAGGATAGAGACGGAAAGCAAGCAATCGAAGCACACAACAAATGCATCAAAGCAACACACAGCAAAAACCCCAAACGTCTAGAAACGAACTTGCCGCAAAACGTTAAAAACCAAACATATAAACGCAGACGATTCAAACATACCAGGGGCGTCTACTGGACAGGACTTCGATGTACCTGGTATAAAACGCTTCCCCCCCCCCAAAGGAGGCCCAGGATGACGTTTCGGCTTTTCAGAGACCGAAGACAGAGTCAGTGCGTATACGTTATGATAGTTGGTGCGAAAACCAGGTGCTCGCAACTCCTTCTTGAAGCCAATGCGTGGCTGTTCACGTGGTCACTTGCATGTGATGCTCGAACTTCTGCCACTGCGACGAGAACATTTCTTCAAGTGCAACGTGGGTCAAAAGCCATTTCAAAAGGTTCAAGCGTCAAACCAACCAGTGATGCACCCCTACAACGAAGTTTAGTCAAAACCAAAGTCAAGACGTCCAGATAGCCCAGGCTGAACACGAAACCAAGGCCGAAGAAGCGGCAATCACTCGTCTATGTCCATAAGAACCCCCAACTGCGACAGAAGAACCAAGGAGACAGACACATCAAGGAGACACAAAGGTTGGGGCATGACGCTGTGAAAGTGTGCTTGTCGCCAACATGAAACGTGAAAATGCCAGTGCACTGTTAGCATGCGTGCGCGCGTGACCGGCTTGTATATAACACATCTTATGATGCATTAATGTGCGACGAGCCCGCTAATGACAAATAATCCAGCCCCAACTGCCCACCCACCCGCCCACGGCCCAAGCATGATCTAGCGCATGTTCATCCATGCGCGGTGCTGATGTGTGTGTGTGTGGAACTAGTAGATGCACCACGTGCAAGGCCGCGTAGGGAAAAACATGCCAAATAATTACAACAAATGAAAAGCATATGAAACTTGATCAAGGTACAAACAAAAACTGAAGCCCCGTCAACGCACATCTGCTTACTTTGTCTCTATCTCTGCTAGAACAAAGGCTAGAACCAAAACTGCCGCCCCGCGGTTGTTGTTGACACCCCCCTCCACGACAACAAGCCAGTGCCAGTACTGATGGTACTGGTGCTACAACCACCACTACTACTACCACTGCCACTACAACTGCTGCCACTGCTACTGCTACTACGACTGTTCCCGCTACGGCTAGTTCTACTACTACGCCTATGGTGTTTTTTGGGCACCCCCCTCAAAAGATGTTGTTGCCTCTACTCTCCTAGAAACAAAGACTGCAGCCTCGTTGTTGTTTTTGGGACCCCCCTCCAGAACAACACCTCAAAAACACTAAAAACGGACCAACCCAGACTTCAGTGAAACAAGTCCAACAAGGCCAGATACTTCCAAAACCAACATTCCCTCAAACATTCAACCGTATCCCTAACCTTGTCCCCTTGATGTTCCAGGGTTGCAACATGTGACTACTATGTTGAGCGGCGGTTCTTGATTCTACCACCAACACAACCACAAAACGCTCGAAATCAAATACAGCGCTCAAAAAGCAGCGACATTGCAAGAAAAAATGAGAACACAGGAAACAAAAGCCTGCACGTAAGCAATTCCATGTTTCTCTCTGACATGCTGATAGGCAAAAAGCATTGGTATTGCAATCCCCACGAGACGAGGCTGAACTCCTGTCCGTTGACGCTTCTCTTCCTTGGCAGACTGCACTTGAGCGTTGTACATCTCCACTTGCGACCTCAAAGGCAGCAGCCGGTTCGCAAGAGAATTGATAAAGAAGTGGTCATCGAGCGAAGTCGATCGAAACACCAGCTCTGGATGCTGGTCCAAGTTCATGTGCAAGGAGGCCGTGCCACAGTTGTCAATTCCACCAATTGCAAAATCAACATCGAAAGAGTCCCAGGGAAGAAGCTCTTCCACTTCCACGGCATCTTCAAAGGTCCCATTGAGCATCGATGCTTGGCCCAGGAGCTGTCCAAAACTCCCAGGAACAATGCTCTTGCCCACTGAGTTTTGGTTACAAATGCCAGGAACACACAAATTCAACCGGAGCGCATGCAAGTCTTGCCGAGTATGCATGTCCAACTGTGTGAAAGCTGCGGCACGCTGAAGGAAAGGCCATCTGGCACTGGGTATGAGTGAATCCTTGTTGGATGCAGTCAGTCTGAGGCTCCAAACGTACAGATTCGAAGGAATTAGCTAGGTCTTCAAACACATGCATTCTGTACTGGTCTAGGTTCCTGGAGAGAAACGTGAAAACAAAACCCTAGGATTGTAACCACCATTGGTTTAATGGCTTTTACCGAACAACCATTGGTTGGCAAAGGATTTTAGAATACAAAACGAGGTCAACTATTTTTACACATCTGGTAGGGCTCGTAGAGCTTCCGGAGGTCAAGGGTGACCTCCCAATAGCGTCCGCCATGAACCCCGCAGCCAGTCGCTTCGGTCTCTGCGTCACTAAAGACCACTCCAAACCACACCTCTTCCTCGGAGAGCGAAGCGGACCGGAACAGAACGGACAAAAAGTAGTCCCGAAACAATCCTTCACGCGTCATTCTCCAAGAAATCCTCCAAAAGGAACAACCCCCTATCCTCGCATGAATTGAGTATGTTGATACAACAAGTCTCGCAGTGTGCTTCATCGCGAGGATCCTTAAACTCCTACATCTGCACTGACGTGACGTTGAAAACGAACGTGATCCTTCGCGTGACACGACGCACCTGGACTGTCACAGAACCCCAGCAAAAAGCGGGGGTAAGTGTCATGAGGGGAAACCCCCAGCGAACAAGGCGTGGTTGGTGAAAAACCCAGTGAGGAAAGGTGCCATTCATGTGATCACCTGGGCCTGTTTAGGTGACTTTTGGCATCTCCAGCGTCTCCGGAGGGCAAGTGTCGAAATCTGTCACCGTTCCCTCGATCTCAATGCCTCTTCTGGTGAAGACATCCTCCCAATACCAATCGGGACGATGCCCCACGGGAGTGTAGACTGACACCGCTTTGGACATCGATCGCCAGTGAAGCTGCTGGCTCCTCAGTCATCGCAAACACGAATTGGATTCAATTGGCGATCCCGGTCGAACATATAAAATCCATCTTGCCCCCACTTCCACACACTTGCTACAGGTCATAGTCTTAACGCCACTTGGACCCCCTTTTTGGGGAGGCTCTGGACGGGCAGCCGCCAAAAGAAAGCCTGTGAGAGTTCCATAAAACAAAAAAAAACAGTGGATCCTCAAGCAGATCGAACGAGGGACCTGGTTCATTAATAGTGGTAACGGGGATCCACTAAGAATTGCTTCAGTCCCAGCTTCTCGTAGAGTGACAAGCAGTCGCCTCCGAATGCAGACACGGCAAGGAGAAAAGACACCGGCAATGCCCAAGGCAGCACGCTCATGTGGCAAGACGAATGGAAAAGGGTGCAGTGTTGGTGTTCGACTCAAAGCAGTTGGCAACAAAAAACTTGCAGAACAGAACCTCTGGCAATTAGCCCTTCAGGACGTGCTACTGCTGCTCAGCTCATGGTGCTGATGCTTGCAAGTCTCCTTCTTGCGAGCGTATGACTGGTAGATACGCAAAGCAATCACACGCCAAATAGGCAAATGTTTGGAAGCGTTCCTTTGGTGTTCAAAGTGTTAACTATGGTTTTTGGAGTTGCTTGACAGGAGGCCGGGTTCATGCACGTTCATGCTCAGGTTGTGGAACTGAGATGGAAAATTCCCGCCATCCCCAGGGGCTGGCAGTGCCAACCCGCTGTCGCGGCGAGGCTGTCATGCGTTTTGGTCGAGGCTGATCGGGAAGTCCAGCGTCTTGACTGTAAGACTGGGCCCAAAGGAGGCCCCAAGGCATCACAGTCAGAAAGACAGACGTCTGCTTTGCCCCTGCATGTTCACCCAATCGCCTCTCCAACTGTCCCCTGCTCGTGCTCGTGGGAGCCCATGACCGGTTGAGGAAGGAGGAAAAATTCCATCCAATATGGGTCTTTCTGCGGTCCTATGCATCTGCGAGTTGACCTCTCTACTTTCAGGTTAAGTAAACTTATAGGACCCTACTACTGGGGGACCTATAGGATAGATCCGAAGAATTCCCGATCGATGCTGCAGCGTTCCGGTCAAACGGAAGGCGAACGGGCCCTAAGGCATTGGATGCAAGAAGATCGAAGGGTCAAAGGCATTGGTTTTGCAACTTTTGCCATGTCGATTCACCACATTTCTCCTGAAAACCTGTCCAAATACAGGTCAAGGTGCCTATCTGCTCAGATCTGATCTACTCAATTCCAAATCATTGATTTTTACCTTAATAACCACCCTGTCCATGGTGCTGGTATATGTCTGAAGCACCCTTCAACCCCCTTCAACCTTCCTTCTCTACATCTCGGCATGCCTTGGCTGGCGGCTGTGTCCCTTCCTTACTTCTACTCCGTCCAAGGGAGGACTTTAGCGACTCCATGGTGCGCAGCGCGGCCACGTGCGAGGCTGCCCGCTGGGTGGAACAGTTGACCCAACGCACTCCACAAAATATTGTGCAAATAAAACTTCCTTCCATGCACGTCGAATCTTCATGAACCATTCGACCGCATCCTGAACTTCCACGAAAGAAGAACCCCCAATCTTTTCCCCAATCGTCCTTTAGATGTTGGATGCTCTTTGGATCCCGGGTGGAGGGAACTTCAACTTGTGGCTCAAGCTAGGGGGAAAAGCTAGCAGCTAGGGGAAGAGTCGCAGCGCTGGGGCCTCGCTCCGAAAACCATTTCCCAGACACGACCCATGGGACTGCCAGTCCGGACTGCCTTCAAAACGGCCGTCGGGGTGGTTGACCAGGGGTCTGGCTTGATCGGCAGTCCGCCCTGGCAGTCCCAGATGGCGGTCGTGCCTGGGGCCATCGGTCGACGCTGCACCTCCGCTGTTTCCGCGCCTCGGCCGCTTCCCCGTCCATCAAGGACTGCACTGTCTCCACACTGCCTGGACGACTCAGGCCCGAGTGGTGGTCCAAAAATGAGCTACAAACATCCTGGAGCAGAAAGAATATGACCCTGTCCAAAAACCACGATCAGTTTTCCATTGTTTGCATACCTTGGTCATTGATTGATTTTATTTTCAAGTGGGATCATGCATTCTTTTCCTGAAGGGAGAGGGGTGACACGGAAGTGCATGCAGTGGAGTTCCCTTCGGAAGAACACAGTCTCAGAGAGAGGGCCCAAAGGGACGAGGCGAATGCAAGTGGAAAAAACCGCCAAACGGTTTCTCCCAAAAAGGGACCTGACCAATTATCAGTTCCGCTGTCAAGCCAAGAACACACCAGGAATCCAAATTCCGGTCCTTGCAGTTTCCGCAAGTCCAACAAAAAATGCACTTCGCCTTCAGCTGCGCCAACAAAACCCCCGGGGCCCCACTGGCGCCGTCTGCCAAGAGGCCCATAAGGCCATTCTCCGCCGCCCACTGGAGGATCAGATCCGCCCACCCAGCCACCGAGCGCCACAGCACCAGGAGCCGCTCCTGGCGAAGCGGCCAGTCGGTCCGGGTGGCCCGACTTGGCAGGGCAGGAAGAATACAAACAAAAAGTGGGGGTTCCGGGATACTCCTTATGACTCTACCAACGGGCTGCGGTTTTTTGCATTTTGTGAAAGAACCATGCGCAGGTGCTGGTAAAGCATTGAAACATCCTGATCTGTATTCTACATAATGCAAGCCCCAATGTCCGTCAAATTCCTCTCACATTTTTTTGCCCATATGGTTGTCTCAATGATGGCTCTGTCTTTAGAATCGCAACCCACATCGTTAGGTACCCACGCAGCAAATACAGGCACAAAACTAAACGCAAGGGGCAACCAACTGGGACAAAAATCGAGAAAGCAACCCACCATATCCCCCCCAACTAGCCCACCAGTCAAACGATCACCAACCCAACCTTGATTACCAAAACACCTCGTCTTGGAGTCCCACAGAAAACCAACCAACCCCCTCCCGCCACACACCCTCAACCTCTATCTATCCTCCTGGCAGGTCAAAAAAACCTGCATGTATAAGCATTAGCACGAGCATCAGCAAGGGCAAATGGCATCAAGCCCCCCACAGGTCACAAGGTGCATAGCTCCCACAGGTCAAAGGGTGAATGGTATTCCATAACCATTGTCATGAGCATTACCATTGCCATTAGCATTGCCACACGGCAAGGGTGAATGGCCATTACCAATACCATTAGCATTGCCATTAGCATTCCAATTACCATCAGCATTAGCATCAAGCCCCCACAGGTCACGGGGTTAATGGCATTACCATATTCATTTCCACAGGTCACAGGGTGCATGGCATCAAGCCCCCACAGGTCACAGTGTGAATGGCACTACTAATATCACTATCTTTGTTGCCATTGCCACAGTAAGGGTAAATGGTTGTAGCAAAAGAAGGCTCCAAACTTCTGGGAAGCATCCAGGACCAATTACAATACCACACCCAACGCTAGACCTATTGCAACTAAACAATCCAAAAACACCTTTAAAAAGGCTTCCACAGATATATATATATATATATATACCGTACCCCTTTGGCCTTTAGCCGAGAATGGATTGGAATGGATAATGGGAAAGGATGGGAGATGATGACATCAGGTTGACACCTGGTTCAGAAGGGATGCTGCCTTTACACCCTGATTGGGTTCCAAAAAGGGGTAGCGAATTGAAAAAATGAAAAATAGAGAGCGGGCCGCTATGTGGGGTATGTGTTTTCCAGTGTTTTGTATGTGTGAAAACTAATTATTATGGTTTTTTCAGGGGGATCTCCTTTCGACTCGAATCAGCACATCTGGAAAAACTCGGTGCCAGTCCCACGGGTGACAAGCTAGGGCTGGCCGAACAAGCTGTTGCACACGTTCTGTCAAATCGCGAAGAAACTCCGGCATTATCCCCGCTGCTACCGAGAATAGAGGTTTTGCACGCACGCTTTTTATAACCACACCTTGTCAATAGTAGGTCAGAGGTGTTTCAAGTCATTATTAAGTCTTCAACAACAAGTTATCTAGAATGGGTTGAATTGGGTTACATGCTCGGCAGGCTGTCACTCCACCCATGGAAAAAACAAACTAAGGAGGGGCAGTTTGAAACAGTCTGGGGCGTTGCAAATGCCACAAGTGATCTTTTATCTCTCGGCGCGCAGCATGTGGAGAGGCTTTCCAGGCGTTCCAGGGCCTTGCCTGGGCAGCGTCAACATGGTTCCGGCGGCCTGAAGCCTTTTCTTGGCTGAGTGCTGATAGGTGGATGGTACAAGGCATTCGCAGGGTGAAAGCATGCGAGAAAGCCAAGTACGGAGGCAAGCATATGACAATACGTTATTATGTCAGTCTCACAATCTGCATGAGAACCAGTAGAAGAATTCCTAGCCGAATATTGTAGCAGCATGCATGTGGAACAACAAGACATCCAACATAAAGCACCACTCCTTCGAGGCTTCTTTCTTTTAGGGCCTACTCCGGATCCGTGTGCAACCCTTAAGCCGTTGTGGTGACCATTGTGGCACCACAGGCCGCGGCCGCGCGCAGTTGCGGTGAACTCTCGCAAATCCTCCGGTCAAACACCAAGCATGGCCCAGTGGAATGGGCGGTCGGTCTGGACGATTGAAACAGTGTTTGCGTACCGTTGGAAGTGGTGGACTCTGGCAGATTGGCCGACAAAACAGTTTTCTGTGAATAAAGGCGATAAGGACGCAGCCGTCCAGGTCGTCGATCTCCGAACTTGAGGTGTGATCAGGTCTGTCAGACTCACTTCGAACCAATGCTCAGGGGTGGGGTTGTTTGTAAGACTTGTGAGCACATTTGCCTCCCAAAAGGGTTTGGGCAGTGTGGAAACGCGCGCACGGCATGTCTTTGTACAATAGGCATTCCTGAGCATTCACAGCGTCACCCGGGCGAAGATCCGCGCTGGCATTGGCGATAAGTGCAAAAGAGCCAAAGGATGACAACTGGATTTGATGTAGGAATGGAATAGAAGCGGGAAAGGGGTGGTATTCAGGTATTCATAGATGGTTAATACATGAGAAGAAAACGACCCGAGGAAGGAATGGGATAGGGGCGGGAAAAGCGGGTAGTCACGGATGGGTAATACGTGAAAACGGTATAGGAATAAATCTATTGTCGAATTGCTCGTGGCTCCCACGGAAAAAAAATAGCGAACGAATGAAACCGTTGCTGCGGACCGGTCCTCGGTGCTGTACATGGTGTCCACCTCTGGGCATTCATCGATTGTTATGACACGCACAGGTTGAGGGTTTCCACGTGTTG